CACCCCCAGTTCTTCCCAACATCCCCCCGACCTTTCTTTTTTTTTTTTTTTTTGAGATGGAGTCTCGCTCTGCTGTCCAGGCTGCAGTGCAGTGGTGCAGTCTCGGCTCACGGCAACCTCCGCCTCCCGGATTCACGCCATTCTCCTGCCTCAGCCTCTGAGTAGCTCGGATTAGAGGTGCCGCCACCACGCCCAGCTAATGTTTTTTTGTTTTGTTTTTCTTTTCTTTTTTTTTTTTTTGAGACGGAGTTTCGCTCTTGTCACCCAGGCTGGGGTGCAATGGCGCGATCTCGGCTCACCGCAACCTCCGCCTCCCGGGTTCAGGCAATTCTCCTGCCTCAGCCTCCCGAGTAGCTGGGATTACAGGCACGCGCCACCATGCCCAGCTAATTTTTGTATTTTTAGTAGAGACGGGGTTTCACCTTGTTGACCAGGATGGTCTCAATCTCTTGACCTCGTGATCCACCCGCCTCAGCCTCCCAAAGTGCTGGGATTACAGGCTTGAGCCACCGCGCCCGGCCTGTTTTGTTTTTCTTCCCCACCCCCCCCCCCGCCCCGGAAGACAGGGTTTCACCATGTTGGCCAGGATGGTCTCGATCTCTTGACCTCGTGATCCGCCTGCCTCGGCCTCTCAAGGTAACGGGATTACAGGCCTGAGCCACCACACCCGGCCTCAGCTGCTGTTTCCCATCCGCTGTTTGGACTGGGGCTATCAGCCCCGCACAGGGTCTGTTTGTTCCCACAGCCCTGGGGCAGACGTGTGACTGACCCCGTTTCACAGGCATGGAAACTGAGGCGCAGGGAGCTTGGGACACACTGCTCTGCCCGAACTCTCGTGCCCAGGTTCCACGAACACATCCAAGCCAGTACGTGTCCCTCCCAAGCGTGTCCTGGCTTGTGAGGCTCCAGCCAGAAGTCTGGGGACCCCCGCCGCAGCCCCCCACGCCCTCACCTGCCAAGCCGCCTCCTCTCCCAGCCACAGGGACTCGCCTCCTCCAAAGAGGACCAGAATCCTCTACCCCCACTTTCTGCCATCCCCACTGAGCCCCTTCTTACCCCCCACCCACTGTCTCCTGTCTGGAGGCTGCAGCTGCTACTCCCCAGCCTCTCTCCTGGGCCCTCCACTGCTCCTTTCACGCTCAAGGCGGATCTGGTCATGCTGGGCCACAGGGCCTCCCTCACTCCTCCTGCTCTGGCCTTGCTGTGGCTCCCACCTGCCCAGCTCCTCTGGGCTCTGGGCCTTCCGTCCCTGAGCCTGCGGCACTGCCTTCCCCGACAGCAGCATTTGCTGAGGGGGTCGCTCTGGGCCAGGTCAGTGGCCCCCTCTCCATTTCCAGTCCCCACACCCTCCTGAAATGTTAAGGATGTACAGATGACCTTTGAACAAGGCGGGTTTGAACTGCACGGGTCCACTCAGACACGAGGGTCCACTCAGACACGAGGGTCCACTCAGACACGAGAGTTTTCGATACAGGCCACCCCGAGGGTGCCAGGCTCTCCTGCCTCCCCTTCCGCCTCTGCCACCCGACATCGAGAGACCCACCCTCCTCCTGCTCAGCCCTCGTGCGAACGCAAGCACAGAGGCATGATGGCCACCTCCCCCGCGTGAAGAACACATTTTACCCCCACTTTGGTTTTGAGACACTCTCGCGCTGCGGCCCGGGCTGGAGTGCAATGGTCACGGCCGACGGACGCACCACAACCTCCACCTCCCACATTCACGTGATTCGCCCGCCTCCCATGCAGCCGGGACTACAGGCACACGCCACCACGCCCGGCTAATTTTTCTATTTTCAGTAGAGACGGGGTTTCACCATGTTGGCCAGGCTGGTCTTGAACTCCTGACCTCGTGATCCACCTGCCTGGGCCTCCCACAGTGCTGGGATTACAGGCGGGAGCCACCGCGCCCGGCTTGTCCTTTTTCTGGTTTTTGAGACGGAGTCGTGCTCTGTCTCCAGCTGGAGTGCAGGGCCGCGATCTCGGCTCACTACACCCTCCGCCTCCTGTTTAAGTGATTCTCCTGCCTCAGCCTCCCCAGTAGCTGGGATAACGGGCGTGCACCCCCACGCCCGGCTAGCTTTTGTATTTTACTAGAGACGGGGTTTCACCACTTTGACCAAGCTGGTCTCGAACTCCTGACCTCAGGTGATCCGCCCGCCTCGGTCTCCCAAAGTGCTGGGATGACAGGCGTGAGCCCCGCGCCCGGCCCCTTACCCTGTTCTGAGTAGTCTTTTCTGGTCCCCAGCTTCCGTTACTGTGGGAACAGGAAGTGGGTGTGATGGGCTGCATGTCCTCACCAGGCCTCCGGTCGGCGAGAAGCCATTCCTAGTTAGTTCCAGATTTAGCCTGAGCAGGGGTCCTCGCCCCTAACCCCACATGTGGAGGGTCCGCGGTTCTGGGCCTGCCCGCCTGACTTCACCGCCTTCTCCTGCTGGGCCTCGCTGCCCTCTCCCGAGCCCTGAGGGGGGCTGGACCCCTCGCCTACTTCTCTCTGGGGGGCCTCGCCCTGCCTCCATCCTCCCCACTTTGCCACCAGCCAGCGCATTCTCCAGGGTAATCAAGCACATCCCAAGGCCCACTAAGGCCGGGGGCTGCACCCACCCCTCCCCCAGAGTACCGCGACCACCGGTGGGAGGGAGCACATCCATCGCCCCCCACCTCCAAGCTAGGGGGAGAGGCCCAGCACCTAAGAACGACAGAGACAGGGATGGCGCAACCCCCCCAGGGCAGGAACCTCTGCTGAGTACCACCCAGGGCAGGACCCCGCCAGGAGACCCAGCTGGCCATCAACACCCAGATAGACACCAGAAAAGGTTAACACAGCCTCCCAGGTCAGAAGGGAGGGCAGGACCCCCCGTGCAGGCCCCACAGCACAAACCCAGCCGGTGCCCCCCACCAACAGAGAACAAGGTAAGAGGGACCCGGGAGTTGGGGGCACACTGGCAGAGACAGGGCCCGGACTGAACCAGCTTCTTTCCCAGAAAACAGGCCTGGGGGCTGGGGAAGGTGGGGCTGGAGCTGGGGGGGTGGGGAGGGTCTCTGGGTTGGAAGGGCTCAGAGCTGGGAGTCTGGGGGCACGGTCTAGGGTGGCGGCAGGGGTCATGGGAAGGGGTGCAGGAGGTGGCAGGGCCCAGGGAGGCAGCGTCCTGCAGGGTGCAGGGCTGGGAGCCTGGCAGTGGCGGAGCTGGAGGCGGGGCAGTCACTGAAGTCGGGTCTCTAGCGGAGGCGGGAGGCCGAAGCTGGAGGGGCTGTGCAGGGCAGGGAGGGGATAGCCCTGGAGGGAGCGGCATGGCTTGAGGGTCTCTGATTGAGATCATGAACTGAGCTTGGGGTCTCTGGTAGGAGTCGGTGGGGGAGGGGGGGCCTGGAGCACCAGGGATGACGCGGGGAGTGATGGAAGCCGGGGGTTTGGGGTCACAGGGGTGCAGATGGGAGTGGCAGGGTCCCTGGATGGTGGGGGAAGGGGGAGGGGTCTTGGGGGTCATGGGTGGGGGTGAAGGCATCCTGGAATTCAGGGGTCATGGGTTGGGGGTTAGACTGAGGTGGTGAGGAATGGGGATGGGGGTCTCGGTGAGGGTGGAGTCTTGCTGTCCTGGGAGGCAGGGGGTGACGCACCTGGGGAAGGAGGGTCCTGGAGGGTCCCAGGCACAGGGATGGAGGGGTCAGTGGTGCGGGTCCCAGGAGGAGAGGCTCCGCAGACAGGGGTGCACGGCCTGGGGATGGGGGGGTCCTGGGTGCAGGGAAGGAGTCACAACTTCCGATGATCCCACAACAGGCATGTGAGGTCATGGGTCCTGGGTACAGTGGGTTGGGGTCCTGGGGATGGAGGAGCAGATGGAGGTACACGTCCCAGGGGTGGCGGGTGGGGTGCAGGGCCAGGCCATGGAGGGGACCCAGGGATGGAGGGGCCTGGGTGCAGCTGGGGGTTCAGGCCATAGGCAGAGGGGACCGGGAACCTGGGGTGCAGGGAGGGTGAGGGTCCCAAGGATGGAGGGTCTGGGAGTGCAGGTTGGGTGGGTCCAAGGGTCGAGGAAAGCTGAGGATCTTGGGAACAGGCTGGGGGTGCGAGCCAGGGGTGGAGGATCCAGGGGGTCCTGGGGATGGAGGGGTGCCTTGGCCCAGGGTGCTGGCCTGGTCTGGAGGGTCTGGGGACAGACAGGTGCAGGACTGCGGGAACAGAGGGGTGCAGAACCCAGGGAACAGGCTGGGTGGAGTTGAGGGATGGAGGGGTGAAGGGCCTGGGAAGCAGGCCAGGTTTGGGGCCTGGGGGTGCAGGGTCCCAGAGTGCAGGTGCTGGGGGCTGGCCAGGTGGGGCCTGGGGATGGAGGGGCGCAGGATGTGGGGCGCAGGGGACAGAGGAATGCAGGGGCTCAGGTGCAGGGCCCAGGGAGCAGGCTGGGTAGGGTTCGGTGCATAGGGGTGCAGGGTCTGGGGTGCAGGTGCTGGGGCCTGGGGACGGAGGGGCACAGGATGGGGGGCGCAGGGGTCCCGGGACAGAGGAATGCAGGGGCTCAGGTGCAGGGCCCAGGGAGCAGGCTGGGTAGGGTTCGGTGCATAGGGGTGCAGGGTCCGGGGTGCAGGTGCTGGAGCCTGGGGTTGGAGGGGCGCAGGATGTGGGGCGCAGGGGACAGAGGAATGCAGGGGCTCAGGTGCAGGGCCCAGGGAGCAGGCTGGGTAGGGTTCGGTGCATAGGGGTGCAGGGTCCGGGGTGCAGGTGCTGGGGCCTGGGGATGGAGGGGCGCAGGATGTGGGGCGCAGGGGACAGAGGAATGCAGGGGCTCAGGTGCAGGGCCCAGGGAGCAGGCTGGGTAGGGTTCGGTGCATAGGGGTGCAGGGTCCGGGGTGCAGGTGCTGGGGCCTGGGGATGGAGGGGCGCAGGATGTGGGGCGCAGGGGACAGAGGAATGCAGGGGCTCAGGTGCAGGGCGCAGGCTGCAGGCCGGGTGGGGCGCGGGGCTGCAGGGGCGCAGGGTCTGGGGCGCAGGGCCCGGGGGCGCCCACCTGTGCGCCGGGATGCGCTGCGAGCTGAGCCCCTTGCCCACCAGGAAGTGCACGTCGCACAGCACCTCGTTGTTGAAGAGGAAGGCGAAGCGCTCCTGCACGGTGGGCTTGGTGGCCTGCCAGTTGTACGCGGGCTCGCGCTGCAGCGCCGCCGCCCCCGGGCCCGCCGCCTCCTCCCGCTCCGCGCCCGCGGCCTGCGCGTCTGTCCCGGGGCCCGGCGGGGCGGGCGCGGCGGGGCCGGGGGGAGCGGCGGCGGCGGCGGCGGCGGCGGCGGCGGCCGCGTTGCCGGGGGCCGGGGCGGAGGCGGCGGCGGCGGCGTTGGCGCTGGGCCCGGGGCCGCCCCCTGCGCCCGGGCCGACCCCGACCCCCGGCGGGCACGACGCGCGCCCGCCGCTCCCACCCGCCGCCATCTTGTCGCTGCGGCGCGGGCGGGGGAGGGGAGGACGCAGGGGAGGAGGGAGGAGGGGAGGGAGGAGAGAAGGGAGGGGTGGAGGGAGGGGAGGGGAGGAGAGAAGGGGAGGAGGCAGGACAGGAGGGAGGGGTGGAGGGAGGGGAGGGGTGGAGGGAGGGGAGGGGAGGAGAGAAGGGGAGGAGGCAGGACAGGAGGGAGGGGTGGAGGAAGGGGAGGGGTGGAGGGAGGAGAGGAGGGAGGGGTGGAGGGAGGAGGGTAGGGGGGAAGGAGGAGGGGAGGGGGAGGGAGGAAGGGAGGGGGGAGGGGGGGGAGGGGGGAGAGAGGGCAAAGGGGAGGGGAGGGGAGGGCAGATGGGAAAGGGGCAGGGCAGGGAGAAAGCAGGGGAGGTGGGAGGAGAGGGGGAGGAGGGGTTGCAGGGGAGGGGAGGGCAGGGAGGAGGAGGAGGCGGGGCCTGCACAGGGCCGGGCTTGCTCCATTCCCTCACTAGGCACATGCACCTGAAGGCCACACTCCACCCCTAGGTCCAGAACATGGGGTGCAGGCCCCAGACTCCAGACCAGGGATCGCTCCTACCCCGGAGCACAGGCCTCAGTGCCTCGGACCCTGGGTCCCAAACCCCAGACTGAACCCTAGACTTCAGAGCCCAGATTCTACACGGCGTCCCTCGGACCCCGAACCCCACCCAAAGACCAAGCTCAAACACCAGACCCTGGACCCTGGACGCAGGTGGCGGGCCTGCCCCGTGGCTCGGGCTCCATTGTACGAAGACACAGCTGAGGTCGGGAGGCGGCGGAGGAGGAGTCGGGGGCAGGCAACAGGCACTCAGGCTCTGCAGACACCTGCAGCCTCTCCAGGCCACATGGGGGGCCGGTCAGTGTGGACGGAGCTGGGACTCCCCCCGAACGCTTACTACACACGTACTCTCGAGGTGGACACATGCCACAAAGATTCAGGCACCAGGCCGGGCGCCGTGGCTCACACCTGTCATCCCAGCACTTTGGGAGGCCGAGGCGGGCGGATCACCTCAGGTCACGAGTTCGAGACCAGCCTGGTCAACATGGTGAAACCCCGTCTCTGCTAAAAATACAAAAAAATGAGCTGGGCGTGGTGGCGCGTGCCTGTAATCCCAGCACTTTGGGAGGCCGAGGTGGGCGGATCACCTCAGGTCAGGAGTTCGATACCAGCCTGGTCAACATGGTGAAACCCCCGTCTCTACTAAAAATACAAAAAAATGAGCTGGGCGTGGTGGCGCGTGCCTGTAATCCCAGCACTTTGGGAGGCCGAGGCGGGCGGATCACCTCAGGTCAGGAGTTCGAGACCAGCCTGGTCAACATGGTGAAACCCCGTCTCTACTAAAAATACAAAAATATGAGCTGGGCACAGTGGCGCGTGCCTGTAATCCCAGCTACTCGGGAGGCTGAGGCAGGAGAATTGCCTGAGCCCAGGAGGAGGAGGTTGCAGTGAACTGAGATGGCACCATTGCACTCCAGCCTGGGTGACAAGAGCGAAACTCGGTCTCAAAAAAAAAAAAAGACGTTATATATGGAGATTACCTGTGTAGGTGGAAACATGAGTCCACCCCAGCCGCAGGGGCGGCCGGGAAAGCTTGCTGAGCCTTCTCGTCCCTTGTCACTGCTGTTTGTTTCCTGGTCCCTGGCAGTGCGTTTTGAGTGCTTTTGAGTTTTCCCCTGTGGTCTGGAACCAACCCCAGCCCTGTCTATGCGGTGTGGCCTCTAGAGGGCGCCCGTCGCCAAGCTGAGTGCTGGATTTGCATTCATTTCTGAAGACCTGTGCTGTGCACAAGAAATGACCTTCGCCGGGAGGGCTCAAGCGATTCTCCAGCCTCAGTGCCCCCGAGTGGCTGGGATGACAAGTGAATCACCACGCCCGGCTATTTTTTTGTATTTTTAGTAGAGACGGGGTTTCCGCATGTTGACCAGGCTGGTCTCGAACTCGACCTCAGGTGGTCTGACTGCCTCAGCCTCCCAAAGTGCTGGGATTACCGGCATGAGCCACCTTGCCCAGCCTCTTTTTTTTCTTTTCTTTTTTTTTTTCTGAGACAGGGTCTTGCTCTATCTTCCAGGGCTGGAGTGCAGTGGTGCAGTCACAGCTCACTGTAGCCTCCGCCTCCTGGAGCCTCCTCAAGCAATCCTCCCACCTCAGCCTCCTGAGAAGCTGGGACTACAGGCACGTACCACTATGCCTAGTGTGGTGTGTGTGTGTGTGTGTGTGTGTGTGTGTGTGGTTTTTTTTCATTAACAGAGTGTTGCTCAGTCGCCCAGGCTAGAGTACAGCGGTATGATCTCGGCTCACTGCAACCTCCACTTCCTGGGTTCAAGGGAGTCTCCTCCCTTAGCCTCTCGAGTAGCTGGAACTACAGGCACCTGCTACCACACCTGGCTAATTTCTGTTTTTTTTTTTTGAGACGGAGTTTCGCTCTTGTTCCCCAGGCTGGAGTGCAATGGCGCGATCTCATCTCACCGCAACCTCCGCCTCCTGGGTTCAGGCAATTCTCCTGCCTCAGCCTCCCGAGTAGCTGGGATTACAGGCACGCGCCACCGTGCCCAGCTAATTTTTGTATTTTTAATGGAGATGGAGTTTCACCGTGTCAGGATGGTCTCAATCTCTTGACCTCGTGATCCGCTCACCTCGGCCTCCCACCTTCTGCCATTTCACAAAAGGCAGGAGGATCACTTGAGCCCAGGGGTTCCAGAACAGCCTGGGCAACATAGTGAAACGCTGTCTCTACAAAAAAATATAAAAATTAGCTGGGCATGATGGCACGCACCTGCAGTCACACCTACTCAGGGTACTGAGGTTGGAGGATGACCTGAGCGTGGGAGGTGACGGCTGCAGTGAGTCATGACAGCCTGGGCAACAGAACGAGGCCTCATCTCAAAAAAGGCGACGTGGCTCACGCCTGTAATGCCAGCACTTTGGGAGGCCAAGGTGGACAGATCATGAGGTCAGGAGATCGAGACCATCCTGGCCAGTATGGTAAAACCCCATCTCTACTACAATACAAAAAATTGGCTGGGTGCGGTGGCTCACACCTATAATCCCTGCACTTTGGGAGGCTGGGGCAGGTGGATCACGAAGTCAGGAGTTCAAGACCAGCCTGACCAACGAGGTGAAATCCCATCTCCACTAAAAATACAAAACTTATGTGGGCACGATGGCAGGTGCCCGTAATCCCAGCTACTTGGGAGGCTGAGGCAGGGGAATCCCTTGGACTCGGGAGGCGGAGGTTGCAGTGAGCTGAGATTGTGCCACTATTTTTTTGAGATTCTGTCTCAAAAAAAGGGAAACTGAGGCAGGGGAGAGCTGGAGCTGTTGCACTCACACTTCACACGGGGAAACCGAATCTCCCTTGGGGTGGTGGGATGAACGTAACGGAAACCCCACGGCATCTTCCCACGGCTGCTCACAGACCCCATGCCCTGTGTGGCAGGGAGTGAAATGTCAGCTTGACAGAGGAGGAAAGACAGCCAGAAAGGGAATGAAAGGGCAGGTGCCACCCGGGGAGTCAGTGAGGTTCTATCCCGCCACCCAAACCGCAGGAGGGAACACTGACGTCAGGGGGTCCCCAGCTCTCCCAGGCACCCCGACAGAGGAAGCCGGCCTTCACACCGTCCCTCCCTTTCTCTCTCCCCCGGGCTTCCACCAACCAGGCAGGTCCTTCCTCACGTCTGAGTTGATTCCATCGCACTTCACCTTAAACAAGTTTCTCATTCTTCAGGGTGAGTCAGAGACCAGGACAGGACACAGGGTTTCCTTTGGCAAAGGGACAATTAAAGACCAGAATGAAAGGGGCTGATCCAGCCGGAGGGATCCCCGCGGTGATGAGTGACAATGGCAGAAGTAAAACTTGTGTGAGTCTCTCCAGGCTGGGTGGGGGGACATCCTGCTGGCATCCTCCCCGCCCTGGGGCAGCACATCAGTCCTCAACACGGTTACTGAGTGCTTACTGTGTACAGACCCTATGCAGGCTTGGTCCTGTTGGCTCTTTAACTCCTTATGATCATTTGAATTATTTTTATTTATTTATTTATTTTTGAGACGGAGTTTTGCTCTTGTCACCAAGGCTGGAGTGCAATGGCGCGATCTCGGCTCACCGCAACCTCTGCCTCCTGGGTTCAAGTGATTCTCCTGCCTCAGCCTCACGAGAAGCTGGGATTACAAGCATGTGCCACCACGCCTGGCTAATTTTGTATTTTTAATCGAGATGGGGTTTCTCCATGTTGGTCAGGCTGGTCTTGAACTCCCGACCCTCAGGTGATCCACCGCCTCGGCCTCCCAAAGTGCTGGGATTACAGGCGTGAGCCACCACGCACGGCCTGACCGGCTATGTTTTTAAGGGGGGGGGGGGTCTCGCAATGTTGCCCAGGCTGGTGTCAAACTCCTGGCTTCAAGCAATCCACCGGCCTCAGCCTCCCAAAGTGTTGGAATTACAGGCGTGAGCCACTGCGCCTGGCCGTTAATTATTATTATTAATGGAGACAGGGTGTTACTTTGTTGCCCAGGCTGGAGGACAGTGGTGTGATCATAGCTCACTGCAGCCTCAAATTCCTGGGCTCAGGTGACCCCCCTGCCTCAGCCTCCCGAGAAGCTGGGATTACAAGCATGTGCCACCACGCCTGGCTAATTTTGTATTTTTAATTGAGATGGGGTTTCTCCATGTTGGTCAGGCTGGTCCTGAACTCCCGACCTCAGGTGACCCCCCTGCCTCAGCCTCCCGAGAAGCTGGAACCCACCACAACTCAATCAGTTTTGTAGTTTTTCTAGAGTTGTGGGGGGGGGTCTCACCATATTGTCCGGTGTGGTCTTGAACTCCTGGGCTAAAGCAATCCTCCCACCTCAGCCTTTCAAAGTCTTGGGATTACAGGCGTGAGCCATTGCACCCGGCCTAAATAAAATTATTATTATTCTCTGGCCGGGCACGGTGGCTCACATCTGTAATTTCAGCAGTTTGGGAGGCCACAGAGGGAGGATCACCTGAGGTCAGGAGTTCGA